AACAACAGAACATAGAATTTGTTTACAGTCATTTAAAAACAGTAACTGCTGAAATCCCGCTGTTCCCTACAGAAAACATCGGATCTTAAACGACTAAGTATTTGAAGCTACATGAGTCACATAACTGCTCCCATGTTTGACCCCCCGATGTTGCAGCTCTTCTAGCTTAACGGCTCTGGGTCAACCAACCCAGTTGTTAGTGTCATTGCCATGGCAAGGCATGTGAATAAATTGGGGGGAGGTACTTCTGGAGGGAGCGGTGTATTTGTTTGGCCGTTGAGGTCAGATATCAACAATCTTTCTCCAGTATCACTGACGCCTCTTTTAACTGATGAACTCAAACCAACATCTACCAATTTAGCCTTCAACATAAAAGTCAATATCAAGAAAAACAAACGGGTCCTTTCCATCAAAGTCAACTTAAAAGAATAATTAGACTTCATTTAACTAGGATTATAATGATTTATTTTAAAAGGTTAATACATTTGTACATTTTCTGACTAATTTTCAAGTGAAAATACCAAATGTGACTACTTGCCATTTTCCCTTAACATGAAAATAATTATTTTTAGGTCATGGCCCAATGTTGGTCAGACAAGATAAAGCTAATTGCAGATGTTGCCAGGTACTCAAGGAAACTAATTGCCATTTTTCACTACTGACATTTTATAAACCCAACAATTAATCAAAAAGAAAAAATTACCTTGACATTAATCCACAGCAATAAAATAGCAACTGCAACTTTAACATGCAAATAACCTGTATAGTGATAAAAATGTATTATGCCGGTTAATGCACTTAAAGAGTTCCAAGAAATCCATATTTTCTCATCAAGCAAAATCATGTAAGATTTCTACTCAACAGGTGCAACATAAAAGGACATATGGTGCAAGACAAGCAAGGTTTTAGATTTATTGTTCTTAACAATTGTGTTTACACAGAGACACCTTTATGGCAACATGCTCCATGTGTCAGGTTGGAACATAAAAATCTGAGGGTAGAGGGTGTATGGATGCCATAGTGTGAGCAGAATGACTGAAGGCAAAATAAAAACATCAGAGCTATAAAACCTGCCCAGCTGCAGGCTTTGATCCTCCCCTCGCCTAATTCCAACACCTGCACACACCAGCCGAGCCCACCGCAGCGCTACACGCACGGCCCCACAGCACCAACGCCACGCATGGCCCCACAGCACCAACGCCACGCACGGCCACACGTGAAAACTCTCATTTCCCATCAGCTGTAGGCACAAAAAAGACTTAAATTTGTTTGTTGCCAACTCTAAAGTAATTGCTTCATTTTAATCAGTGAACAGTGCCGCTACGCTGTCAGGGCGGTACAGAACAAACACAAGAGCATCTTTATTTTAGTCATCACTTGTGATTACATTTCACCTTTCACAGAGAGAATTCATCAGTAACACGCTGAAGGCGGCACCGACGTGACTGCTTCGAGTTATTTACTCAGGGGTTAATTTGTGCTGAAACGAACTGGATCCAGCACCTCTCAAACTGTGACTGCCATCTATTTTGACCGACCCAGCACCTCATTTACATGTGAAACAAACGGAATCTATGAATAACATATAAAAAGTCCAGCGTCTAACACTTTGGGTACAACTAGACTTTTACAACAGCATATTAGAGTAAAAGTAGAATAATTAAATACAATACGAATGGGCAGTTAGGATAATTACGTCACCACCTAATCAGTCCGCACAGGTCACACTGGGTCAGGTGCATATTTAGTGAAACTTTGTTAGCCACGAAGCAAAAATGCAAAAAATTTAAAACTGGTGAATTTGTTCAAGTATTTCAAGTCGTAGCAGGGCAAAGCTAGTCAGATCAGAAGATAAACAGGCCAAGCTGGACGCAGTTACAAATCCTAAAAACGGTTAATGAAAATGTTAGTAGGCTACAAGTCAGTCTGATGCCGAGGTCATGGATTTCAAAAGAACACAGGACTGAAGCAAAGCACATGATCACATGAAACAGGACTCCTGTCCCATGACTGAGCTGTTTTAAAGAAAAATTTAATTGTAATAAAAATAAAACGTGTAATAAAGTTTTACATTTCAGTCTTTCTCACTCTTTTTTTTCCATTCTACTAACCTCAAACAAAAAGTGCAATATTTGTACTCCTCCAAATAAAAACAGGTGCAACAGGAAACAGAAGAACATCTCCTACGTACATCAGTCCTACTGAGCACATGGTTCTTTTTGAAGTTTCTATTTGCTGTGTTTTTCCATGGGTTGGACACACAGTACGTATACATACATGTCATGTGTAGCACCAGTAACTGAACCAATCAAGAAAGTGATTGATCATTGTGGCTCTACACTTAAATTTTATTTATCCTGTGGCAAAAAAACCAAAAAAAACAAGGCAACACAAGCAGGTTAGTTTTGCATTCATTTTTCATTCTTCTTTCCATTTCAACACTTCAGGACCCTCCTGAAGGGGAGGAATAACACATATGCACACAGTGGTGCTTCTCTTTGGAGCTGAATAAATCTCTCATGAATTTCTGTTTGATACTTCAAACTGATTTTTTAAATTGGTGCCAGCAGGCCTAACACATGCACATTAGTACACAGATAACGGTGTAATACTTTATAAGCATGAGGTGGATGCAATGGCTATTTACACAGAACACATCCCAGGTCACACCAACCTGGTCATATCTAGGTTATTCTAACCAAAAAGGAATGAGATCTATTTCATGAAGCAGGTTTAATGAGAAGGATAAGCGCTTTGAGTAAAACATATGGCTTTACTTCAATTCTTGCTTCAGATTTGATAAAGCTAAAGGCTTTACTCAACATTTATCCAGCTAATCTTATAAAGCCTGCTTCATTAAACAGGCTCCTGCCCTGCAATTCTTCCATCGTTGATGCTGTGTCAAGACCAGCTTGTCAGTCTAGCTCTAGTTAGACACAACAGTCCATTTTCTCTCCTGCAAAATATCTCAAAATGGATTTTAAGCAAATTTCTGTGACAGGCCAAACCTCACAGCTCCTCGTCTCTGACACAGTTTTGTGTGTACATGGGGAGAATTGCTTTGTCTGGATTCCCTGCTGTCAATGAGCAATACATAGTTAAAGGATTTAGGTGTGTAGGATTACCCATCAGTCATGTTGTGATTCAGAGCACAAATAACATTCCTGGTCATGACCAGTAAGACCATATGGTGCAAAACAAAACACTGTTCCCTGGAAAAGTGGTCAGACTGGGGACTTCAGTATCTGCACATAGAGCTGCTTGTTCTCTGTTAGGCTTTGTGTTTCATGCTGTAACAAACTACAGACGCATCTTTAACATGAAAACTTTCCTCACAATCCTAAGTTCTACTTTGTAACCACACCCAGTATAGGGTCACACCTAAGCCTAAAAGTCCAGGTATGTTGTATAACCGGCAAATTACAGCTGTATTGTTTAACATGGGAAGAGCTTAAAATGTTGTTGGTGACTAGCTGATCATATCAGGGAGTATAATACAGACAACTACAATGTTGTGCAAGTTTGTGGTTGAAAGAAAAGTCAGTTGTACAGCTACAGCCTCAAGTTTTGTTTTTTTGGTTTTTTTTTTGTAAAAGAAAGGCACATCAAAGATAACTCCAAAGAGATATTCACAACCAGAAAAGCACTTTTCCTACAGTACAAAAAATGCTTTTTTCCATCACTGTTAGGAAAACCCAAGTGAATGTTACACTTGAGCACAATAAAGGATTTTGACAAGACAAAGAAAAAACAACTCCTGTACTCCTGCTTAACACTAAACTATTTTAACAAGACTTTTTCAGATGAGAACAGGACAATGTTAAAGAACGACTTGTCTAATTAGTTTCCACTAGGGTCTGACAGGAAGTCGTAAAAGAGGAGTATATCTCTGAAGCGCACAGGAAATGTTCATCCGTAATTCATCGCCCTTACCTACTGCACCTATGGCCATTTTCCATTCAGCCATTGATCTCAAGATGGAAGAGGCAGTTGTCTTAAACCATTTTGTGACGTCATGTGGTCTGGATAGTAATTTTACTTTCTGTCCAGACTTATACAAGTCAGAATCTACAGAATATACAAGGAGACACATACAACCACAAGTAAACTATCAGACTTGGACCTCACGTCACAGTCATCTGGCTGTAATAGCTATGACCAAGTGTTGTGACTAATTGGAGTCTTAAGTCTGAGCAAGTAGCTGTTTTTAGCCAGGACATAAAAAAATGATACATTATGTGGGAATTTTGATGACAGCTTGATAATTATTCTCAATAGATTTGAACTATATGGTTTTTAAGCAGAGTAAGAGATGGCTTTATAATCCAGGTCATCTGGGTTTTAATGCACAACACCACCTCAACTAACATTCAAAGTTCACTTCCAAAGCTGCCTCACCTCCAACTCTCTGCTGAGATAACAATCCTTTTCTGCCGCTCTCAAGCCACCACAGCACACATTAATTACACACTTTGGTCACACAAAAGGCCGAATACTGAAGGGTTCTGCAGGTTTTTCTAACTGAATAACCAGAGAAATAAGATCTGAAATGAAATACTTTTTTATTAACAGTTCTAAGGGTTTTTTTTTTTTTTGGATAGGCAAAAGTGGAGCATAAACACAGAGAAACAGAAGCAGTGCTCCTACTGCACTTTGTTCTCTGACAGCTGGGCCCACAGGAAGCCACGGTAAAAGGAACTTAATAATAAATTAAAAAAACATAATTCACAATAATTACTGAGTGAATCTTGATAGTGATAAACACACAGAGACTGAACACACTCTATAAGAAAAACAAGCTCACATCTTTATATGCAACTTTTCAGGAGGCTAACGAGTATATTTGCATAGGCAAAACAAAGTTGGCTTTATTTTAACATATGACCCTTGTATACCTCTAGTCTAAAGTGTGTCAGTGACTTCCTCGTTAGTTCTAAACATCATACAACTTCAAAACCAGGAGGAAAAAAAACGCCACAGAAAGGCTACTTTTTACTTACATGCCCGTGGTTGATGAACCCATGCTTATTGGCAATGCGATCAGCTTCCTCCTGACCTCCAGGTATGTGCACAGCCCATGTGTTGGTGTAGACCTTCTCTCCCAGTGCTGGTCTCAGCCCAGAAACCAGCAAAACCAACAGAGGCCCAAGCAACAACTCCAGCAGCCTAAGCCTGCGGCCTACAGAGGGAGAAAGAGGGCCAGAAGCCATGGGTTCTCCTAGTGCAGCACAGTCTCTGAGCACAGCGCCTGTCCGATGGGCCAGGGCTGTCCACGGTACATGCAGGTGCACTGGGACACAAAACAGGGGACAGTCGCAGCTCACCTGACAGGAGACAAAAGGAAAGAAGAATATAAGGCAAGTATACATACATATGTGCAAACTTTCAAAAGCATGCTGATGATTTCACTGGTATATCATTTCTTGTGATCCAGCATACCCATAAAACTGTCACACAGAAGAAGCCTGTAGAAGCTAGACATGTCAAGATTCACAAGGAAACTATTCACAAGAGGCCACAAAAACACATTTGGTCCAAATTTGAAGTTCCTCCCTGTCTACATGCTTCTTAGATGTTATGGTCAAATGAATAACAGAAAGAAGAACAGAAGGATAAAACTGTTGTGACACATTAGTTAAATAAGAATCTGTTTTGTCCAAAAGGAAGAACAGCCACCCTTAAAGCTGTTCTGAGCAGGTGTACTACAGCTCAGCTAAGTATAGGCAATTGATAATCCTGCAGGAGGCAGTTAGCAGGACGCTGAGGCCGGACCTTTGACACAATAGATCAAGCTAGAAAAATGCTTAGGTGTACTGGATTGGCAGCAGAGGTGGAGAAGTATGGTTGGAAAGCTAGACTACACCCTAAATGCTGAGGGATCACAGCAAAGTCAGTCTCGGTTTGAGGTGAAGTAGCCACTCAAGGCTGGAGTTTAACAATTGAGGCAGCAGAGAACATACATGTTCAAGTGTCACAGACACAAATATGAGTGTGGGTATTTCTTTCAAAAGGGTATTTCAAAAAGATTCAGTTTTTGATGAAACTGTCAGAAATGCATTCATTCAACTACATGTTTACTATTGAGGCCATAGTTAAAGGTGGTGTTGTACTGAACTACATTATAATACAATTGCACAGGTGTACCTAATAAAGTGGCTGGTGAGTGTGTAGCTACAGCAGCCAGGGTGAGCAGAGATGCAGACATCAGCTCATGTTTGCCAGCACAACTTTGCCTCTAAACTGTTACTTCGAGGCAGGAGGACCAGCTGCATCTGCGAAGACCATTATCCGTAAGCAATAACTCTACTGTTGTTTGCTTGAATATGAAACCGTGTAAATTTCACATTATAAGCTAAACTGCAAACACATTTCCCAGTTACAGAATTGTGGGCCAAGGATTTATCTTTTATGGCAAATGCAAAACTACTAAAACATGATAACTATATTTTTGGGCCTGCATGGTCCCAACAGTTGAGTAGGAATAATAAAAACCCTGCACTACTAACAAGGGCGCCATCATTATGCATAATTTAAAAAAATAAATGCTCTAGCAGATGCTTCTGTCCAGACATCTACTGAGCACAGACAGGACAAACTGATTCATCTGCATTGTTTGTGTTGACATCAGTCTGATATGTGCGGACAGCTGCTAGCTAGTGTTAGCTCCCCACAGGAACAGACCGAACATGGTGGAATCCACACACTACACTATTCACTCAACTTCCATTGCCTCACATCTCATAGCCAAAGAAATGGCCTCTTCAAAAAAAAGCTAACCGAGAGCTCACATCAGTGTGCAGTCTTTTTCAGTTTGTCCCTCTCATCAACACAATCTCTACTATCACATGCTGCCAGTCAGCTAGCCATCCTGAGCCACGGCAGTCCCATAAACCATGATTGGTCTGCATAGACCGTAGCTATTCACATCTCAGTTTACTGTCAAGGCTCAAGGCATGTTGTGTAACCAGCTATCATCTGTGCTACTTCATAACTTAATATTGCTGTGCACATTGTAACAACTCATTTACACAAAGACATTTTACACATCGTGTAGTCCGAACTGAACCAAGTAGCTTCTGCATACACGTAAGCGCAGATGTGCATGTTTACTGAGAAAAGGCACAAATGCAAAGAACAATCTTTGGATTTAGAATTGGAAATTAATTGTAAAAATAAATAAATACATACAAAACAATCAATAGAAAGTTCTATATTTGTTATCAAGCCCTAACTGTGACCCCAATACAGTGCTTCTATTCTGTCTTTCCTACAGTATGCTGTCCAATTCGTTCTCAAGATTCAAGTCTACTGTGGGACAAGGTTTCTCCAATCAATCTGCAGATGTAATAGGCCTCCTATAATGACCCTGTCTCCGGGGTTCACCATCCAGTGGAGAAAATGGTACAGTTTAAAATCGCTGTGCGATCATGACACATGCCAAATGATCAAACAAGCTCCTAAAAATTTCCCTGGACAGTTTGCTGTGAAGTACAAATGATGTGTTTGGATGGGGCTGGGCCATTCTGCTGTACCCTCAGACAGTCATTTAGTATACTGCTCCCAGAGCACTTCACATTAAAAATACTCAAACCACCACTGATAAAAATGAGCATTACTTATTTTCTTTGTAATTTCAATTTATATTTCATTTGTAAATTCAGTACAATAAAATTTTATCTACCAGGACTCTATCATCAGTGACAAGGCAAATGAGATACTAGAGCTGGTTTTCATCTCTTAAGGACAACGCGACCTTTTATTATCACCTCAATAATACACATATAATTGAATTTACACATTCCCAACAGCTAGAAACATCATAAAAGAACCCCATGTGATGGACCACTTGCACTGACTTGCATTAGATTGTGCAGGTGTTTCTAATCAAGTGGCCACAGCGTGTAAGCAACGTTTAAACTCTGGCCATCGGGTCAGTCTGCTATTTCAGAGAAAGCGAAACAGTTCGGTCTATAGTAATGCACAGGCATCGCTCCAAACAGCTTGAACTAGTCTAAGTAAAAGCCATGCTTGGTTTGTGAGGCTAACGGTGTTGTTGTGTTTATAATTGGACCATGATACACCAATTGCACAGACCTTACCAAGTGAACAGATGTTCACTTGGTAAGGTCTGTGCAGTTCCCTCAGACACTTTTGGGAACCAGTTTCACATACTTGACTATTTTCATGTCACATGTATAAGCAATTTTGCTTCATTTAATTACATATTTACAGGCATGTACATCTTCTGATACAGATTTTGTTTACTGGAGTTACTTTAAGCTTACTCTTCTCTATAGACTTAGATTTTTACACTGAGCTTTGATAAAATGTTCAATAAAAGGCACAATGGAGTTACAGGAGATGAGGAGTCTGCAGCTATGTAGGCAGCTAGGTTTTACACATTGTGTAAGAAATAATTAAACTAAAACTATGAGGTACCTGATTTCAAGTAACATGGTTACATTGTTACATGATGCTAATTATAGGTTTAGGGTTGGTTGTGTAAGCTGCTACAGTGCCAAGTGCATTTAGGGATTGTTAACACTAAGGGCTTATTGTGCACTTTAGAAAAGCTATATTCTTACACAAATAATTTTTTTTATTTAATAATGAACTGCATAGATCTGGCTTGTGACTCAATGTAAAAGCATTGTGAATTTTTATTTTCATACATTTTTATTTTTATAATGTGAAACAGTCTTTATACATCCGATTAATCATAAAAATAATCAACAGATTAATCGATTATGAAAATATTTGTTAGCTGCGGCCCTATATTAAAAACATCAGCGACGCACAGTGCTGCACTGGGTGACATTTCGTCATTATGAAATCTAACACCCTAATATCTGTTTAAAATGTTGCTCTAAATGAGCATAACTTTTTACAGCATCTGAAGTAAGCAAGACTCAGCTGCATGTGCACAAGATCTCCATGAAAGTGCGAGTAGCTAGTTACTGTGATCGGTCTTTAGTGTGACACCAGTAAACAAGCAGTTGACTCTTGCCAACTTCAAATACTATAAAAACTTCTTGCCATTTGGAACTTCTGGAGTAACATTTTTAACAAATATTCAGGTCTTATGTTTCATAATGAAGAAACATGTCACCCGGTGCAGCGGCGTGTTTCACTGATGTGGTTTTAACTGTTTCTGAACAACGCCGGAGACGAATAAGCCAGTCCAGGTTGCCAGACATTAACCATGAGTAGTGCCAACTCATTGTTGTTTTATTCTCTGTACTGGGACTATTGAAAATACTATTAATATATAAAATGACTGACCATATCCTTTAAATAAAGTACTGCAAAAAGTACTGTGTCAGTCATAGATCTCCAACAGGCATTCGTTCATACGATATACCTAAATGGCCTCTATGGAAGAATTACTCTTCCCACTGTAAAAATCCCCATGGTGACTAATTTTCCCATCTGGCCAGTTACTTATGTTAACCTCCTTAATAATAGTCCCCTTCTTTGTTAAAACATCATTCCTGTGTGCTTACACATACTACATGATGTCACAAGAACTCTGAGCAATGTCTGTGTCAGCCACAGAAAACAGATTAACAAGTACAGCTACTGCATGTTTCACCATACTGAAGGAAACCCTCAAATGTTTATTTAAGAAAAACAAACAAAAAAAAAGCCCTATTTGCTCAGGGACAATTCAAATCAATATTTAACTCCCTTGTACTCTTTGCAATTAGCAAATTCATGTGTGGAACTGATAGAAATAAGAAGCTGCTGGAAAGGCTTGCTCACTGATTAACATCTACAAGCAATATCCTGAGTCTTCTAAGCAAAGTGACACATTAATGTCAAGAAGACGGACTCAGTTCAGTGTGACGTGAAGCTGCAGTACAGTTTACTGCATCATTGGCGATCATCGAGCCTACAGGTCACCCTGGCTGCAAGCTGCCC